AAAAAAAAGAAAAGAAAATAATATTTCGAATCCTTTCTTGAGAAGAAAAAAAGAAAACCCTAAGATGACAATTTTCCATTTAAGCCATTAAACCACTCCAGTCACATGGTTTTATTCAAGAAAGGATGTCAAAGGTGCATCCCTAAACACTGAAAAGCTACTATGAAGTAACTACCATAGCATCCAACAAAATATTTCTTGTGCTGCAGTAAAAGAGAATATGAGATGGATAATTCATTAATTCAGTGGCACATGTAAGTTAAGCCCAAGGAAGCTATAAGAAGTGGTTCTTTTTTCAAAAATATTTCTATAAAAGGTGAATAGAAAATAGAATGGTGAGGAATGGTATAGTATAAATGCTGAGAAGAGCTTTCTCTGATTTCAATATTAGTAATTACAATGATGACCTCAGTCTGCACTATTCCTACATCAGATGAAACAAAAATTGCCTAAATTTGACAGGAACCAATATTTAAATACAACTCCAATGGAAAGGTGACCATCCAGCATCCACTAGGTGGTGCTGCAAATACTAGGCAACAAGTGGCACTGGCCACAAAGGATCAATGTTGAATGTCTTGGTCCTTTATGCTGCAAGGATTTCCACTTGCCATCAAGCTAGGTTTCTGAGTAATAAATGGCTCAATTTCATACTGAATTCTCAGAGCAGCTGTGGAAAACACTGTTCCTCACAGAGCAACCTCTCAGTTCTATTATGCCAGATACCAGAACCAATAGCAGACTAATCCTTCTGACCTGGCACTACAGTTAGATAAGGGTATGATGTGCAGGTCTTACAACTTTTTTATTTTATTACTTTTAAGATTTATGTTTTGATTGCCTATGTGTTTAGGAAAAACCACAAAGGGGAAAAAACAGCTACGTGCATGTGCATGGAACTATTTATTTCTGTAGATCTCTTAACAAAAGAGTAAGAGATTAAGCATATTTTGAATAAAACATCACAAGAAAAAAAATTTATAAACAGTGTCACCTTACATGTTAACAAATGGTTATAATGTATAAAACTTACATGGGTACTTGTACATATCATCCCACACAATTTTTTTTTATATTTTTCTAAGGAGGAGGATGTTAAAAGTAATAGGAAGTATAAATTAGGAAAATAAATGAGAAAAAAGTATAACTGGATTACTGTCAGACATAAATGTCCACAAAATAATGAAAGCATATTACAAACACTAAATATGAGTACTGAGGCAATCATTCCACCAACAATAACCACAAAGTTTGTTAAAGGTCCAGAAAACGAGAATTCTTCACTACTATATACAACTCAAATGCTATTATAAAACTCATTAATAATTCAAGAGTCCTCCAAATTAGAAAAGATGTCTGAGAAAAAACATCTCTAAAGGACACTAATGCTAACCAGTTTGTAAGTGTAGGGACTGGCTGAGTTCAAGATTAGTTTCTCAGCAAACAAGAGGAATGTTCACTTATTCTTAGTATAAACAAATCTAAGGTAATAAATGTATTAGTTTCTCTAAAAATGCAATAGGTCAAGAGAAGGTAAATACATAAAAATGAAGCATGTCACATACAGAAGGGGTTTATAGCTTGACTATTCTTAATAAAATATACACAAGTTCCCAACTAGATAAAATATACACCTATTAGTAAATTTAATCTGCTCAAAGATGATTTTCCTTTGAATAATAAACATCTGGCACCTGACATTCCAACACTTTAAGTATAAATAAACATATATATTACAATATTAAGACTTTATGTGAAATGTATGATAGTATTAGCATCTTTTTCTCCTTATAAAAATTCCTATACACCATGTAGCAATAAAAAAGAGTATTTGTTTTTAACCCCTGGATCTTCAATGATTAATTTAGGTAAGTTTTTCAGCCCTGACATGCAGGTAAATAGTAATATATCAAGCAACATACATATCTAGGTAGATACAACCTCGAAGGGAACAAAATGCTCAAAAATGAAGACCATCTAAACTAACTGATCAGCTTAACATTCTCCTTGGACACTACGCTCCTTTATCCACTTTAACAATTACAGAGACCATCAACACCCTAAAGGAAAAGGTGAAAATATTATTCACACACATATGAAGACAACCCAGTTTCATCTATAGAAGTTCACCAGCAATCTTGAACTTACTACATGTCAGAGGGAGAAGCTTAAAGTGAAGCTCTTTGACCTACTTTGAAAATAACTTACAAGAAAGTAGTATACAGCCTGATTACTCAGTATAAAAACTCCCTTAAAGTGGTTGTCTTTAGAAACTAAATGATATATAGGAGAAAGGAGACAACTTTGTACAGACAAATAGAAATATAAGAGTATTGTAGACTTGTTCTTTATAATCAAGTACAGGAGATCCTAGAAAATCTAAGCTTTACCTTTCTAACTGCTGTCCCATTAATCACAGACAAATAATCTCCACTGTTCCTATATACCCTACTCCCTTAGATCCTTTCTATGTCATTTGTGCTTTGCTTTTTCAAGTTACCCTAACAAGATATATTATAGCCCCATATGATTTACACAGATTTACACAGATGTCCAAAAGAACATAATTTTACTCACCTTTAATCGTCTCACCATCTCCTCTTTAGATATTTTATCAGAGATTTCCTTGACCCCAGGCGGATATGTAATTTTTCCATCATTGGTCCTAGTCTTTGAGTGAGCCATGACAGAAATATTTCTACCCCTAAAACAAGAAAACTATTAAATGTAAACCAAAAAACAGATATAAGCATTCTTAACAAACATGAATGGTAACCTTCCCCACCAACCAAAATTTATAACTACATCCTAATTATAGTAATTTACTTTACCATTTAATGAAAATCACTATACTGAACATTTCCCAAAATTATTTTTAGAAAAACAAAACTTATTTTTACTTTTATTTCCTCAGTGGCAAGCTATGCTATTTTTCCCTAACCCTCCAACCTAT